TGTGCTTACAGGCCAGCTGAACGCAGACTTGCGTAAGATCGCCGTCAACATGGTACCGTTCCCACGCCTGCACTTCTTCATGCCTGGGTTCGCTCCCCTTACCTCCAGGGGCAGTCAACAATACAGGTATATGTTGCAATGATATCATCTTTTATCGATCCTGCATTTAGCCATCATCATCATCATCATCATCATCATCATCATCATCATCATCATCATCATCATTGTTTGGAAAGCAGAGTAGGAGGGAGAGTCTTGTTTGAATTCCAGACTAAATAATGTAACAATATAAAATGTTTAAAATTTGTTTAATAGACACAGCTCATCGTTTCGCCCCGTGGGCTTCCTCAGGAGCACCTGAGAGAAAACTAAATGTATACTAGCAGGGAAATGGGCCTAACAAAGAGGGTCTTAAGATTACGTGTGTTTACAGGCTAGACGGAAGTGACTCAGAGCGACCCAGACCGAGGGGCTAATTATAAGGAAATTTATCATCACTTCTCCTCTTCCTCCTTCTCCTCATCCTCCTCCTCCTCCTCCTCCTCGTCGCCATCATCATTTTATTTTATTATAATAATAATAATAACAATAATAATAATAATAATAATAATAATAATAGTAATAATAATGATAACAGTAGAATTATGACGAGAGTTGTAGCGATAACGATACTAATAACGATAATGATAAAAATAGTATTGCTAATAAAGATAGCAATAATAAAAAAAGTATATTACTAATTTGCTATACTTGCATATGAGGCTTGTAATTGACTAAATAAACACTTACACGTATCATATAAATACGTGACCAAATGTAGAGTCATGTCACGTTCTTTATTCTAAAATCTCTCTCCTCTCTCTCTCTCCCCCCACCCCGTCCTCCATCCCTCCAACTCCGCTCCCCCTCCCCTCCCTCTCCTCCGTCCCTCCAACTCCGCTCCTCCTCCCCCCCCTCACGCCTGCACATCCCCACAGAGCCCTGACAGTCCCTGAGCTGACCCAGCAGATGTTTGACGCCAAGAACATGATGGCTGCTTGTGACCCCAGGCACGGCCGATACCTCACGGCCACCGCCATGTTCAGGGGACGCATGTCTATGAAAGGTCAGCAGGTCAATTTGTTGGTCTTTATAGTGCTTTAGTGGATTCAAGTGAAACTTTCGTATAGCGAGAGGGGGAG